GAGTATTAGTTCCTCAATTGTGAAGCCAACAATTTCAAGTAGGTTTAGTGTCCTGGTCAACTAATTAAAATGCTTTGTACTAGCCTGCATCGAATGAATTACATTTTCTTCTTCCATGTGAACAGTCTTTATGAATATGAAATACAACTGCCAAGAGCCAATTTCTTTTCTATACTCTCTAGCTGGTTTCCTTTTAGGAAAAAAAGGTTTAAAATACAGCAGATCTACACCATCAGGCTAACTGCAGGAAATTAACTTCTCTCTGGGCAAGGCAGAAATAAAGTTCTGCATCATTTAGTGCTCTGTAAGGACTGCTATATCAAGAGAGATATCCAACAAATCCCAGAAGTCAGGCTACTAGCTCTTCCTGCTCTATCTCATCATATAAAAATTATAGTTGCTAATGAATACATGCTCTAAGGTTAGAAAAAATGCTTCACATTTTCCAGTGTGATTATAACAAAGAAAAGTAGGCAAGAAGACCCCTGATAAACTAAATGTTAACTCAATCTCTGAGTGGTCACAATCAAATTATAAATCTTTTGATTCTTTGATTTAATTGCTTCTGTTTTAGTTTCAGAGGAATTCTAAAAATAATAACCATAAGACAACATATCACATTCAGTAAGTTTTCTAAATGAGTGTTAATGGCAAAACAATATAGTTATATTGGCTTGTGACTTTTTTACTCACTAGATTAAATTTAAATAGAAGAAAATTAACTTAATCATTAAACTAAATTAATAATAGAACAACAAAATAAAAATTTAAAAGACAGAAAAAAATGTTCTTATTTAAAAACAAGGATATTGAAAAAGGGCCAGTAGGGGAGAAAAAATAAAGTCAGTCTTTGTAGAACTGCATAAGAAAAGCTCTGATACTGAAGGCAGCATTAGTTAATTAAATAGTAATTAGTCGTCAGGCATGGTGGTGTACACCTGTAATCCCAGCAAATTGGAGGCTGAGACAGGAAGATCATAGGTTCAAGGTCAGCCTCAGCAACTTGGGGGTGGGGAGAAGAAAAAAGAGGGGAAAAAAAAAAAAAAAGCCGGGCCTGTAGTTCAATTGTAAAGCACCTCTTCTCCTTGGGTTCAATCCCAGTACAAAAAAAAAAAAAAAATACCACCACCACCACCACTACTAATTCATCATAAGAATGACTTACACCATATTTTAAGGGAGTTTTCTTTAGCAAGGACAAGAGCGATTCAATTACCAAAGTTATTTAATCCATACATCTTCTAAGTATTAATCAAAGTCTCCCTTTGGGAATCAAAATTCTAGAAAAGAAATCTATATTAAGGCAAAAATCTTGATTATTAAAAAACACTATAAAATTGCAACTGAGGATGTGGCTCAGTGGCTAAGCACCCCTGGGTTCAGTGGCTAAGCAGCACCCCTGGGTTCAATCCAAGGCACCAAAAAAAAAGAAAAAGAAAAAGTAAGAAAGAAAAGAAAGTGAGCTGGATTGTAGCTCAGTGATAGAGTGCTTGCCTAGCATGTGTGAGGTCCTGGGTTCCATCCCTAGAACCCATATGTGAGGATTTTGATTGTACTTAAGAGATGGAGAACTTACAGCTGCAATTTCAATACTTATATGCCACACTTAAATCACATACATACAAATATAAAATACAGATAATATACACACCGGCACAACATAAGCATAAAAGCAAAGTGAAGAAAAACACTAGGTTGGCTAAATATTTTTCCTAAAAAAAAAATTGTGCTGTTTCTATGAACAGCACATTCTGGGAATTGTACAACTTAGCAAAGTTCATTACCTCATGCTCCAAAAAATAGCACAAACACCTCAAATTTAGATGTCTACACAATCTGGTCTAATCTCTCAATCCAAAGGTAAACTAAAAATCTCAAATAAACTTTATAATTTTTTTAATTTTTATGGTTTAGAAATAAAGAATAGGAATTTTACTTCCTAGTTTCAAAAGCTAAAATGGCCAGAAACAAGTTTATAAAGAATTTTAAGTTAGAAAAAGAAAGACAAATATTTTGAAAGAAAAAAAAAAGTATCACATCCAATTTCTAAAAGAACATAGCAGATTAAAAACTCTAATAGCTTACTTAAATTTAAAATAACATATAATAATTATTTAAAAGAAATGAGCTTGTTGGACAAGCTTCTTGGGGGCTGACCCAGGAAGATTGCAAGTTCAAAGCCCCCCTCAGCAATAATTTAGTGAGGCCCTAAGCAACTTAGCTAGACTGTCTCAAAATAAAAAACAAAAAGGGCTGAGGATGTAGCTCAGTGGTAGAGTGCTTGCCTAGCATGTGTGAGGTCCTGGGTTCAATCCCTAGAACCACATAAAAATAAATAAACAAAATAAAGGTATCATGTTCATCTATAACTAAAAATACTAAAGAAAAAGAAAAAAAAGAAAGAAAGAAGAGAAAATGAGCTGTTTCAATTCTGGATTTCTTGTAAGAGTTAATATTCTTAGGATGATAAAGTTGTGAGGTTTATTTGAAAGCAATCAGAAAGAACCTGTGATCTTTACCATTTTATGTTCCCTTAGAGCTCGGACATTTTTCTAATTTTCCTGTGCAAATGTGACAAAAACATACACCACTTCTGCCACAAAAGAAAAGCAATTAGTGCACTAAACAATAAAAATTTAGAATGTGAGGGAACAAAATGACTAATTATTTAAGCCCAATCTTAAAGGCAAGAAGTGGCAGAAAAGTTCTCAGTTTTAAGAGGAAAAACAATCCCTCTGAGCAGTATGCAAAGAACACAAGAAAGAGGAAGCTTTGAAGGCCTGGTTTCTGAAATTCCACTTGATATGGCTATGAACAGGCAAAAAGATGAAAATGTATACAAAACAATTCAGGTTAAAAACAGACAAAATGCTGGGGCCACTCACTGATCCAGAATTTATAAATGCCAAATTCACTTTTATATCTCAAGGAAGAAAAATGCAATTTAGATGGTATAATGCTCATCCATAAAAGTGAAGGCTTTCACCAAGGTTGAAACGCAAGTTCAATACATTTTTCTACCTGGGATTCCACATCAACTAATCAGCTGGACAGTTAGGAAAATGAAAGGGTAAGACATACATGTAGGCACACAGAGAACAGTTACCTTCAGCTGGTTATTGAAAATATCAATCTCCTGCAGTTTTGACCTAGTTTCTTTCTCCACCTCATCCAGTTGGTCTCGTAGCTGCTGGCGAGCTAGTTCTTTTGCTTCTAAGGCTCTTTTGAGTGTAAGAAGTGAATCTCCTATTTTAGAAAAACAGTGAGACAGGAAAAACTTTAATTGGCAGTGAGGGAAATGTTTTTTAACGTTTTCATGTCACTTAAGAAAATTCTTGCTGCTTGTAAAAAAGGAAAAGGTTGTAGCTGGGGTGCAGCTCGGCAGTAGAGCCCATAGAGCTGTGCTGGGCACGCGTGAGGTGAGGCCCTAGGTTTAATCCCCAGCATATTTAAAATGAAAGAGGGAGAAAAGGAGGGAGAAGGAGAGAGAAAGGAATTAAAGGAGAGGGAGGGAAAAAGCCAACTTTAAAATTCTGGGGCTGGGGTTGTGGCTCAGTGGCAGAGCTCCTGCCTAACATGTGTGAGGCACTGGCCTCGATATAAATATATATAAATTTTTAAAAATAAAGGTACATCCACAACTAAAAAATAATAAAATAAATAAATAAATACATAAATAAAATACCTACTGTGCAAACTGTTCTGCTGAACTTGTTTTAATTGGTCGTTAAGTATCTGTTTTTCTGGAATAAGTCTTCCAAGCATTTGCTGAGATTCCTAGGGGTGGAGGAGAAAAACAACCGTGAATGACAGGGAACACTCCCATGTCCACACGCAGAATTAGTGCTTAAGTCAGTTTTCTTGACCCTCAGAGATACTCCTGAATGGCCTGAATAGCAGAGAGGTTAGTCAGCTCTTCCCAAGTGCTTTATGGTGAACCACATTTAACTGCTAGTCAGGGTGACTCTTGCTTTCTTGTCAAGGAATAAACTGTTTGCCAAGTGCTTTTCACTAAAATAAAGTTAAGACAGTTATAGCTTCCTTGGTATTGCTTACATTCTTATTGTCTCACTGGACATTTATAAGCTTTTAGAGATAGCACTTCAAAAACACTGTGCACACAGAAAACAGAAGTGAGGATCTCTCAATTGCATGGAGATCAAGTATAAATACAGTGGCCCAACTGCTTGTAAACTAATTTGGAAGAAATTAATCTGTTATTATAATCTGAGCTTTAATACTTAATACGGCAAAATTTAGGTTTATGATATACCTGAAGTTGGGAACAAAACAGATTTTTAACCACTAGAATCTTAACTGCTTTAAATGTGCATGTTTTTCTGTCACAAAGAATGGAACTTTAAACAGGTACATAAAAGTCTTGAACCACCTATATTTTAACTTACACAATGATAAAAACGAAAACCATACTGTACAAATGCTATTTGGAATTTTTTGTGGGTAACATGCCATGCACAGTATTTGCTTAAGTTCAGCTGTAAGTATTCTCTATAGTTTCTACACATTTCAGTAAAATGGTAGGCTTTTCAGATATAAGAGGCCATGGCCACACCTGTGATCCCAACAACTAGGAGGCTGAGGCAGGAGGATCCCAAGTTTGAGGCTAGCCTCAGCAACCAAGAGAAACCCTGTCTCAAAAATGGGGAAGAAACAAACAAACAAACGTGGGAATGTAGCTTAGCAGTACTGTGTCCCTGGGTTCAATCCCCAGTATCAAAAACAACACAACATGAAACAAAACAGCAGATATATAGGGAATATTTGACTTTTATTTTTACCTTTATAAAAAGTGAACTCTAAGTATTGACTTTGGGCTTGAAAATATAAAAGTGCCATAATTAAAAATGATCGGGGCTGGGGATGTGGCTCAAGTGGTAGCGTGCTCGCCTAGCATGCATGAGGCACTGGGTTCAATTCTCAGCACCAAGTAAGAATAAAATAAAGATATTGTGTCCGCCTAAAACTAAAAATAAATATTTAAAAGATTGTTTTTCAGAGCCAGCACATGAGTTCAAGACTTCCCTGAGAAACAGCAAGACCATGTCTCAAAAATCATCAGAGGCCAAGAACCTCTCTTTTGGAACATCTACCTTTAGATACAGACTAGCCTATGTGGAAAAAAACCTTCATATACTATTGGCCCATATGGCAGAGAGGTCAGCTCAACAGAGGATTTAGAAGCCTCCTTTTCTATAAATAACCCCCAACACACACACACACACACACACACACACACACACACACACACACACACACACACACGAAAAACTTCATAGAACAGAATACATAAATCAGTCATTTTCTCAAAAAAAAAAAAGCAAAACCAACTGAGTTTTCCCTTTTATTCTCCTTCCTATTTCCCAATCCCAAAGTTTCTTTTCTGAACTAAGACAAAGAAATATCAAGACAAAACCTAACTCAGATCACTGAGATTGTTTTACTTATATAAACATTACTTTAAGGTGTACAACTTAAATTTATAAAGTAGGTCAAACCAATATTAAGGAATACCCAACTCATTTGCAAAGTTAAGTATCTGCTAATCCATGAAAGGAAAGTGAACCAATATCTCCTTGCCTGCTATGTCCCTTTATTTCTTCTAATTAGGTATTATTTTCCCATTCACTACTTTAAGAATCCTGACTTTTATTTATTATCAATAACTGAATATTCTAAACATCAGTCATAAGTAATAAGTGTGTTTGTTCACACAACATTCTGTGATAAATTGATACTGAAACTAAACACAACACCTTTAACTCTAAATTTTCCAGGGGACTATCTTATGAAACTTTTCATCAATAGTTAATGAAAGACATATAAACAGAGTTAATTAGCATTTAGAAGGTAACCAATATCTTTCATGAATTTAAATGAAAAGATTCTTAATAAACAAGAGCAAGTTGAATATTCTAAAAGGGGTAATATACTATGGCCAAGTGTGGTGTACCCCAAAAATGGAGGTTGGTTTTACATTCAAATTGCAATCAACATAAATCTTCATCTAAACAAAGTAGAAAAGAAAAAAAACACCACAAAATCATCTCCATAGATGTCCCAAACAAAAACAAACATGGCCGATGAAGGGCATCTATAGAAAACCTAGTTACCCTTCCTTATTTGTGACAGAGTTTTTTCCTTCTAAGACCCAGAATAATGTTCTTAGCACTTCTCTTCAACATAGTTCTGGATGTCCTGGTCAACTAAGTAAGGCAAAAAAAAAAAAAAAAAATCACATTTAAATTTATAAAGGATATTGAGGATGTTGGTTTAGAGTTTTCTTGTAATATCCTTGTCTGGTTTTGGTATCAGGGTAATGCTGAGCTCAGAAAATGTTAGAGAATATTCCTTCCTCTTCTATTTTAAAATGTTTATGTTGAAATGGTATCTCTTCTTTAATTTTTGGTGACTTTTATCAGTGAGGCCTTGTAGATCTAGGGTTTTCTTTGTGGTAGGATATTTAACAGTAAATTTATTTAATAGATATATAAATATTCAGGTTTTTTTGTTTCTTCTTGACTCTATTTTGATAATTTATATATTTCAGTGAATTTATTTTATCAAAATTATTAGACTTATTTACATAGTTGTTTATAGATATAAAAGGCATACAGTTTAGAAAATGAAAAATAAAGCTGTCTTTTTTCAAGCATGGCAAGTTTATATAGCTAAAAACTCCTAAAGAATCTAAAAAACATTCTTTTAGAAATAAGATACAGGAAGCCAGGAACAGTGATGCATACCTGTAATTGCAGCAACTCATGAGACTGAAGCAGGAGAATAACAAGTTCAAAGCCAGCAGATTAATTAGTGAGGCACTTAGTAACTCAGTGAGACCCTGTCTCTAAATAAAATATAGAAAAGGTCTAGGGATGTGGCTCAGTGGTCGAGTGCTCCTGGGCTCAATCCCCAGGT